GCCATGGAAGAACAGCTTGGGGATAGACTGCTAGAGACCACAATGGTGAGCTTATTAGAGGAGGTTGGGAAACCCACACAACAGATTGTCTTGCAAGCATCATGGAGGCACTTGGAGTTGGAGCAACGATTACATGAACACGGAACTGAGTTGTTATAAAAACAGATGCCCAATTGATCATGACAACGATTAGACTCATTCTTCAAAATGAAGTTAGGGTGGTTGTCTTAATTTGACGAGTTGTGAACCGTGTAGCTCATAAGCTTGCTAGGGCTGCATTGTTCAAAGCAAGTAGTGGTTATTTTTAAGTTAGTCTGAGTTGTATCTCAAGCCAGTTAGAGAATGATTGTTTGAATTAATATTATGACTTTTTTATTCTAAAAAAGCAAAACATGAGAATATAAACTTATTAAAATCAGCCTAAAAAGTTATTTCTAAAATCGGGAGATGCACAACCCCAATGGGTCAAGATATAATTGCAAGTGTTTGTTTTTCTTTTAAACTATTTTCTTAAGTGCACCATTGAGGATGTTTTTACTTGGACTGTAATTTGTCCCAGACCAGACAAGTCCAGACCAGACCAGTTCAGATCAGACCAGACCAGACTTGGATAGTTATAAAAATACAAAGAAACCAGACCTTACCAGACCAGACCAGATCAGACCAGAACAGCAAATTACAGTCCAAGTAAAAACATCCTGAGTGTGTAACTATTGATCTGTTAGAATTCTGTTTTTAGACATTTTTTTTAAATTCCTTATATATCTTTAATTCTTAATTATTTTGAAGGCGTTTTATATAATGACAATTTTCTTCACAATGTCCAACAAGTACTTTCGGATTCTTAATCTTGTATTGGATAATTCTATTTCTCTTATTATTTAAATATATAACTAATAATTTCAGTACAAATGGTATTGGATCAGATCTTTATATATGTTAATGATTTTATACATATAACAGTTTTGCTCTTGAGAATAATCATTTTATATTTATGTGTAATGAGGCGGTTGCGAATTGTTTTACTCCATTGAAAATGTGATTTTTAAGCAATTGAAAATAGGATTTGAAATATGAAAACGTTATTTCTTATACGATATATCTTTCACGTCTTTCCTTAATTCAAAATTCTTTACGACAAGTAATAGTTGTACTACTTATTTTATTTAGATAATTAGGTACATAGTAGCCTGGAGTAATTGACACTTGTCAAATACTTAATACTCCATTACTCCGTATAATTTTTCTAACCATCCACTTTATTAATTTCTTTGATGTGTTACATTTATATTTAAATGACAAAATAGCTAATTTTTACTTATAGGTTTTTATAACAAAATAAATACTCCATCCGTCCCGGAAACAAGTTTCCGGGTTGACTTTCACACATTTTAAGGAAATAAAGTTACTGAGAGGTAAATTTTACTGTTTTGACACTGTTTCAACACTGTTTGGCACTGTTTTGTACTGTTTGACACTGTTTTGCACTATTTTTATGTAGATAATTTGCCAAATAAGAAAATGTGAAATTTATTTTGGTGACATCCAAATAAGGAAAGTAGGAACTTGTTTCCGAGATGGAGGGAGTATATATATATACGTTCACACGATATCCCTAAAGTCTACTCTATTTATATTCTCCGGGACTATAAAATGTCACCACTAGGTGTGACCCCTTTGATTATGATGTCAAGGGAATTATGAATGATGAATTGGATCTCTTTCCGATATTTCAGATCATTTGTATACGTAGTATAATGTAGCCGCTGAGCCATCCGATTTTAGATCTGACGAATCTCATCCGTTGATTGTGGGGTCGGACTTTCACAAGTGAAGTTTGGAAGTAGCCAAGTAGGTACGGATGTTGCAGGCTTGTGTATCCCTGGCAGCGAACCTGAATCCTGAATCCCTGTGGTCTCGTAGCATTAACCATTACAACGGCGGCTGCATATACTAACTTACATTATACTCCACTCAACCCTGTTATAGGTATCCCAATTGGTACCCTAATTTATACCTCAACGAATTTTTGTGACTCACAAAAACCCCCCTCAATAAATGAATTGCCCCATTTTAATGAAGTGCTTTTGTGAGCCACAAAAATAGGGTGAGGTACAAATTGGGGTACCAATTGGGGTACCTTTAGCATTTTTCTACTCCACTATAGCTACTATGCTATACAAACAGTCATACATTATACGTATATGAGTCCGCTTGGTAGCACGAAAATCGGCTGACTTGGTTGATTCTGTTGAAATTTATGAGATTCTAGCTGCATTGGCTGATTCTGCTGATTTAGAAAAAATTTATTTATACAATATATTTTATTAATAAGAAAAAGTTATATGAAAAAAAAAGCTAAAATGGCCATCTGCAGTAGTTTCAGCCAATACAGCTAGAAAAGTAACTTCTACCTTACTTTTTCTGCTTATTACACAATTTAGCGCGCGAAAACAAAAGTTGTATGTTTGGTAAAAAAGTTAGTTGATAAGACCGATAAATAGAAAAACAGTGTTGCCAAACGGCCTCTATATCTATAATATAATCTATACATATAGAAGGGTTGACTTCAAATGAAAATGGATATTCACATGGAAATTGGAATAAATCCAGGTCATTTATTATCGAAAATGATTTGTTTGACGTGGAAACGTCCTTAATGTACATGAACAACTTTTTTAATAACGTAGTACAAGACTAGAACGCCAATGAGTAAAGTTATCAGGAACGCAACTTACCTAATAGGAAGATGGTGGGACAAAAAGATAGGAAGATGGTGGGACAAAAAGAGAGTTTCTTGTTGTACACACTTTTATACACACCTTATACCCACCTTGTATGTGAGGAGTTTTTTTGTCTGTAAATCCGATTCACAGACAAAATAATTTGTGTAGAAATATTGTCTGTGACCGGGATTCACAGACAAAAAAAAACTACTCACAGACATAGTGGATGCAAAAGTTAATTGGTATAAGAGTGGGTACAAACAATTTTTTGGCACAAAAAGGAGTAAAGTTACATAACTCAAAATGAAAACATGAATGACTAGTTTTAAATACTCCCTCCGTCCCGAAAACAAGTTCTTACTTTCCTTATTTGGATGTCCCAAAATAAAGTTCCCACTTTCCTTGTTTGAAGTTTTAGCTGAAATTTGGTATGAGTAAACTAGACTTAATGAATAAGATGCTAAAAAAATTCATCAAAAAATTCCACCGGAAACCACCCCAAATGGCGACGGCCGGACAGAGCCTTCTAAATAAGGGCTTATTTGACCTTGTTTGGTTAGTACATGGGTCTATTTGCACCTTTTCTCCCTTTTAAAATACCAAGTAACGGGTGATTCTAATAGATTATGTCAACTGTTTTGACCAATTGCTTTTATTAACAACTTGTAATTTTTAAAACATAAAATGGCTATTAAAGATATGAATATAAACACGTTTATATTCAACTTAATTTTATGAAGTACTTTAATTTTTAACTTTTCAGTAAAGTTTTTTAAATATTACTAAAATGAGACTTGTTTACAAGAATATAACTAATATTTACTATATATAGCAAATTCTCATAGTCATTGAAGTGTAAAAATTGAACATAAGTTACTACTATCGGGGGCAGAGGTGGAGGGGTGGCCAACTAGACCACAACTTAACCTAAATTTTAAAATTGTTTATATTTTCAATGTAAAAATTTATGTGTAAAAATTTGTCAGTAAAAATTTGTTGTACCGGTCCAGCCCAACTCTTACTCCTGGCTACGCCCCTCACTACTATAATCACTACACTTGGTCACATTTTTGTAAACAACATTTGCTTCGATTATATATGTGTTATTATTTCTTTTAAATAAATTTCCAGAAAAGTTTTAAAAATATATTTGCTGTTATTTTATACGGAGTAGCAACTACCACTATTGTTTTTAATGCTATGTTTGTACATGTATGTGAGCACAGACACTTATAAATACGTTTACTTTTAGTGTTAATACGTTAAATGCAACTATTTTAATAGTTTTTAAAATAATATACTAAAATATTAAGAATATTCATAATGATATTTCCTTAGAATAATATAGTAATGTAGCAAGAATACTCATAATGACATTTCTTACCATTAAAATAATATAGTAAAATATGAAGAATATTCATAATGGTGTTTCTTATCATTAGTAAATAATTAATGAAGTAACTCAAACTGGAGGATATATTAAGTTTTTAAAATAGAAAATAAAATTAAAAAGATGTTAAAAGTTAGAAAGTGATTTTTTGTTTTTGGCTTTTTCGCGTCAAATAGCCAAATAAAAAACTTGCTTACCAAATACCAAAAATAGCTTTTTGACATAGCCTAACCATCAAAATCAATCCCAAAAGCCAAAAAAATGATCGATAGGGTATTAAGCAAACACCCCGGTTCGAGACTGGGACCGGGACTGGCCGGATCAGACTGGGACAAGGTCCACCCCTACGCACAACCGGGACGGGTTGTGCGAGATAATTAGAGGCAGACCACAACCAGTCTCTATAATTGGAACAGCCCAGGAAAAACCGATGTATGTATGAGATTTGTAAAAGTGAATTGGCAAACTTGTGATTATTTTTTCCAATGGTATCAAAATGGGAAGCATGAGATCGATAAATTCTTGTTTATGTCATAAGATCAAGTCATTTGAACAAAGTCAACACAGACAAGTACTTGTATTTAGTACCTACAAATTTTGCACCCACACTTGAACACATTATTTTATTCCTCATTTGAATAGACACATATTATGTGTTACAAAAGGAATGTGTTGTTCAACCAGAATAGACTGTACTAAGAACTGTCAAACTGGGATGAAGCATGTTTTGTTTTCAGTAGCAAGAACTTTTGTCCCACTAAAAGGACACCACAATGGAGCCAAAGATTCATTATTTTTTGGCTTGAGATTATGATGGAATAAAGCAAAATGGCTCACTAAACTGTCTGTGCTTCTTTGTTATGAAGCAGCCGTCAGTCTGCTTCTTTGGTGCGAAGAACGGGAAGCAAGTTCAATGCCGTGATTCTGAAGCGCTTGTTCATGAGCAAGATAAACAAGCCTCCACTGTCCCTCTCCAGGCTAATTTCTTTCATGTCGGGAAAGGAAGGTAAGATTGCTGTTTTGGTGGGCACCATTACAGATGATATCAGGGCCTATGAAGTCCCAGCTATCAAAGTTTGTGCATTGAGGTTCACCAAAACTGCAAGGGCAAGGATTGAGAAAGCTGGCGGAGAATGCCTGACATTTGACCAATTGGCTCTGAGGGCTCCATTGGGGCAGAACACGCTTCTACTCAGAGGTCCAAAGAACTCGCGTGAAGCAGTAAAACACTTTGGTCCTGCTCCTGGTGTTCCTCACAGTCACACCAAGCCATACGTGCGTGCTAAGGGAAGAAAGTTTGAGAGGGCTAGGGGTAAAAGAAACAGCAGGGGATACAAGGCTTAGTTTTTCTCATTATATTGTTATCAACATTATCAAGTTGTCTTCTTTTGTATCTTTGAATCAAATTTTGCAAAAAGACTTTTGTTGTTACCAGTTCCTGCCTTTTGTTGTTACTGTGCTTATTTTACTACATAAGTGGTAGGTCCTTTGCATCATTTTTTTTTATCGATCGTTGGTTGTCTTCGGAAACAAAAAAAAAAAAAAAAGCAGTCGTCAGTCCATGCAATTTTGGTTGCGATTTTCACTATGGGTCATCCGGAAACATCCTCTCTGTGCTTTAGTACAGGGGTAAGACTGCGTACATCCAACCCCCCTTACCCCACCGTAGGTGGGAGCCTTTGCGGCACTGAGGTAAATGAAAATGAAAATGAAAATGAAAAATGAAAAGGACACCACAATATTGATTATTGTCGAAACATAGATCATAAAAGGGTTCATTCTCTTCAAATATTACCTAATGTTCTCTCCCCTCTATAAACCGAGTCCAATTCTAAGAGCATTTTATGTGTAAAGAGTAGTAGGTGAACGTATTTAGACAGGTTGTCTAAAAAAATCCAAAAAAGGGGAAAAATATCTCATAGGTTAAATTCTGTTAAATTCTAAGAAAATATGCCAGAATTTCATTTATGATTTTCAATAGGTGTGCCTTGTTAAAAATAAAAAATGTACGTTGTTCAAGATGCCTCTATTGCAACTATTATCACATCAATAATGGATGTAGATCAAAAGTCCAACTTTACAAAAAAAATGAGTACTATGTTTTTATATGAACAGAAGTAAATTATTGTGTCAAGTATCTTGTGGTCTGATGACATTAATGTGATACTCCCAAAAAGGAGGTCACATGTTTGAGTCTCGTCTTAATTCAAGGATGTTTGCCTTAACATAGAACATATAAGCTTTAAAAAAAAGTAAATTACTGTTAGTTTTGAAATTGTATCGTCATATTTTGACATTGTCTTACACTAATATGGCATCATTAATGCCATAACTAGACGTATGTTTAAGCATGATAATAATTACTCTTGTTTCAAGGAAAACGGTGTACTCCTTTTTTCTGATTTAACATTATTTTACTCTAACTTTGAGCAATTCTCGGATCAAAAATCAAACTTACAAGAACAATATATACAAACAAACATATACGGTTACATAAAAACTTATGGGAGGGAGTGACTATCCTCTGCCACTCACTCTATCATTGACTCAAAAGGCAGACACGTGAAGCAAAAACTAGGATCTTTTGGGGTCATTTTAAATCCATTTGGGTGAATGAAAAAAAACCAATATTTTAGTCTATTGATTCTTATTGAGTAGTTGTTTCTTGTGCATTTTGCAAGTGATAGAGACCTAGAGGGAAAAGCATGTTTAAACATTCGAGCAGATATTCCCACAATTCAATCCATCTGGACCAAGGCAACAAAGTATATATTCAAACTAGGGATGGCGTTCCTGTCAGGCCGGCCTGACGGTACATGTCGTCCGACCTAGCATGTTCTTCATCATATTTTTCGATGAAATTTTTTGAGAATGTTCTTCATGAATTCTAGTTTATGCTCATCAAATTACAACTTAAATTTTAATCGGAAAGGTAGTTAAATAAATTATTTAAGAACACTGCGCTTTATATATATATATAAACAACACAATGTTTTTCAATTACACATTTGACTACCTTACCGATTGAATTTTTAAGGGATAATTTGGGTTTGAACCCCATTTTATTGTGCAAATTGGACTTTACACCCCGTTTTCAAAAAACTTTGTTTTTGCACTCAATTCCATATGAAAAGACAAAAATGCCCCTCCATTAACAATTTTGTTGTCCTTCAACATATTCTTTATCAAGGGCATTTTTGTCTTTTCATATGGGGTTGGGGTACAAGAACAAAAGTTTTAAAAAACGGGGTGCAAAGTCCAATTTGGCAATTTGGACAATAAGATGGGGTGCAAACTCAAATTACCCCAATTTTTAACTGAAACTTGGTGGGTATAAACTAGACTTGATGAAGAACATGCTCAAAAAAATTCATCAAAAAATTTCATGGAAAGGCCCTCAAACAGGCTCGGCCAGACAGCTATCCCGGTCAGGCCTACCTGACATGAAGATCTTCAAACTAGTAAAACTTTAGATTAGTTTATAAATCCAATTTTACTAGTTTAAATTGGATTGAGAGAATAACAATCAAATTAAAATCGAATTATTTAGATTAGTTGAGTGTGGCTTTATAATTTTAAAACTATAGTCAAGTTTTATTGCATTTTTTAATTCAGCCCAGAATTATTTAGATTTTTCGGATTGATTTGATCCAATACAGTTTTGAAAAATTATATTGAAAATGAATCACATACTATTTGATTTTGGTTCGGCCAAACTTTGTTCATTAATTCATAAAATCTGAATGCATTAATTAAATATATAGAAATGAATAGAAACACTGGGATGAAACCGAGCCTAACGATTTGCTACGTTGTCTCTTTAAGACGAATTTACCCACAAAGCAAGTAGCAATCGTCTTGCAGGATAAAACGGTTTCTACGTTCCCAAAGGACACCGGCAAACTCGAAGATGCAACGTACTATTTTTGTAGAGGGCTAGTGAAGGAAGAAGGTAGTAGATTATTAGGAGGATTTTCGGATTGATAGAAATGCAGGCAGTCATCGGTATATAGCGCTCTAGCCAGGAGACTCTATACTCAAAAAACACAACCTTTAGAAAGAAATTAAGTTTGTCACCCTTCTAATAATCAAAAGGTTGTGTCTATTGCCAAACCTTATTTGAAATTGGGAACAAAAATATAAATATCATCTTTATGCCATAATCGGGGACAATTTCTCATTCATTAAAAAATGGTTTTATACAAATAATATGTGTAAACATTCATCTCTCAGAGTACAATATGTTAGCACTTAGTCCTATTAAAATAGAGACATGAGTCCCTTAAGTATTTAACTCCAAAATGAGCAAAATATTGATTTATAAAACCTTTTTCAAACAAACTTAACCAAAATGCAACCAAACATTCCAGCCCAGCTGGTTGGAGATTATCGTGCCTAGTGGGAGGTCTCGAGTTCGAATCCTGCTAGGCACACAAGGGTTGGAAACTCAATGGAGTGAGTTTCAGCCCTGATTATTCCAGGCTCCCCCAGCCCCCTCCCCCAGACCCCTTGGAGTAAAAAACAAAAAAAAAACAAAAAAAAAAAAAAAAAAAAAAAAAAAAAAAACTTAACCAGAATGCTTACCCCCTATACTAATACCCCATTTCCAAAATTATTTTTTCCGTATATTTTACATTCTTTTTTATATTTTTTCCTAAAAGTTCTATTTAGCTCTAAATTTATCTAAATGTAAAATAAATTTAACAAAATTAGAAATCTTAGTACAAAGTTCAAACTTAATTTTTGATATCAAAAAGTATAACATTTCAAAATGACCATTTTTAAATAGGTTATCACATAATCTACTTTTGTTACCAAATAATTACTTCCCACTTCAAATAATCACGTTTGGGGTCGTGTGATTTAAATTAAACCATTAATATGTTTGATTATATTGACTAGTAAAAATTATAAAAAACCGTATATTGAAATTTTATAATGAACCAAACTTAAGAATGTTTTTCATACTACAGAACATCAGGTTCATACACACTCAATTTTCACCCTTCATAATATTAAAATTACTATATACAATGTAACTAAACAAAGGTACTTGGATAGTGAAAGGATCAGTGTCAGAACTAATAAGGAAATAATGTAGTAGCATGATCATTCCTAGCATGATAGTGATTAAATAGGAAAGTTAGTTGACGAACTGACCTACGTACTACTCCCTCCGTAACTTAAAAATCTTCCCACTTTCCTTTTTCGTCCGTAACACAAAAATCTTCCCATTTCTAAATCTTCTCATCATACCCTCAATAATTCTTAAAATAATACACTATTACAACTACTTTTTTTGGATTTATCCTACATTCCACCACATTATTCCACTATTTTCCCATCATACCCTCAATAATTCATATCATCTTTCACTATTCTTAATCTACCTACTTTTGAAATGGGAAGATTTTAAAGATACGGAGGGAGTATATATCTACATCCACAGTGAAGGGGATGCATAAAAAACTTAGATTGAATAAACGAATACACTATTTTCATATTGACAGAATTGATCTTTGCGTTTCTTGACACTAATGGAATTGGTGTTATCTCGATAATATGACTTTTAATTAGCTAGGAGGAGAAGATTTGATGAGAGAAAATTCCATAAATGAGAGTAAAACATAGATAAAGTGAACAGCTGATATAGAACTCATTCACTTCTAATCGGGGAAGCTATTTACTTTAATAGAACCAAACAAGTCTAACTTTGAAAATGAAACATAGTTTCTCCTATTAATATACTTTTCTATGTTTTAAGCTTATTTAAAGTAATTTATCATACAAGTTTATCACGTGTGTCGATGAATTCCAAAATTAGAGAGGCAAAAATATAGTTGGACAAAAAACCACATTGTGACTAGATATTATTTAAACCACTTGAGCAAAAGTGGATAACTATATATGAAAGAGTGCCTTATCCACTTAGAAGTATAATCAGAGAGCGACAAATAGATATATAATATATATAGCATATAGGGAAAATATTCATGCTATAAAAGTTAAAATTTTAGGCCCTTTTCAGTTGAGGGGCTTCAAAGACGAATTTTTTGATAAAATTTTGTGAGAATGTTCTCCCTGAAATATATATTATATCTACCAAATTTCAGATTAAAATTTGATCGGGAATCACTTAAATATTTTTTTGAAAATTGGGAAGTTTTTTTATACATATAACATGCGTTTTTTGTCAATAATTTAGTTAACTGACTTCCCGATTGAGTTTTAATTGAAATTTGGCTGACATAACCTACACTTCATTGAGAACATACTTCGAATAGGAAGCATCTCAAATGAAAGAGGCCTAAAACTTACAAATTTTAGACATAAAATTTGGCCTTGCTATAAGAATTATCTAGTTACAAATGAAAGAGAACACTCCCCTAGCGTATACGTAGGGGTCTTGCTCATAACTGATCAAAAGAGAGAAATTAAAGAGGAAAAGAGAGAACTTAAAGAGGAAGGAGGAAGAAGTGATGATGATGATGATGAGAACTGAAGAAGGGTGAAAATGTAAATACATACCTGGCGCTAGCAAATTCATAGAGCTTTCCTCTGGGAGAGAAGACAATGAGTGCCACCTCAGCATCACACAGCACAGAGAGCTCAAACGCTTTCTTCAGCAGACCATTTCTCCTCTTAGAGAACGTCACCTGCCTGCTCGTCGCGTTCTCGATCCGCCGCAGCTGCGTTTTCCCCCTCACCATATGTACGCCAGATCTATCCTACATAACCCAAATCTTTTTCCTCACAATCTGCTGTTAAAACTCATAATATGAACTAATAAAGTGCTATATTGAGATCATAACGATAACGATTAGGAGCCCGTTTGGTAGCACCAAAATCGGCTGTTTTGGCTGATTCTGCTGAAATTTATGATATTCTGGCTGGAGTGGCTGTTTTGGCTGATTCTGCTGATTTAAGAAAAAAATATTTTAAAAATATATTTTTATTAATAAATTAAAGAAAAAATTATATGTAAAAATAGCTAAAATGGTCCTCTACAGTAACTTCAGCCAATACAGCCAGAAAAGTAACTCCAACCTTACTTTTTCGGCTTATTACACAATTCTGCGCGCGAAAGTAAAAGTTACGTGTTTGGTGAAAAAGCTGGCTGATAAGCCTGATAAGCCGAAAACAGAGTTCTCCAAACGGGCTCTAGCTTATTGAGCTAAGTAGCCTGTTTTGGGCGATTCTGAACACCCTTTTGGCTAAAAATGGGAGATTTGACTCGATCAGGCCATTAAAAACATCCATGATAAGTGTGTTTGAAGCAAAGAAAAAAAAGGAAAGAGATATTTCCATAAAGGATAAAGAGAGGAGTGATAGTTTTGGGAGATAACCTAATTCGTTTCTTCTTTTGGAAAGCCCACGAACCCAGCGGAAAAGCATAGGATGATATGTAAAAGGAAAATAAGGAAAGAGTCCAAAGACTGAAAGACCGAAAGAGGGAAAGAAACATGTGGAGAGAGAGAGGGGGGGAGAGTTTGAATGACATGTATGGTGAAAGGTAGGGCTACATGCTCTGGCTGACCAATGAGGGATCGAAAACGCATCAGGGTTACTAAATACATAAAGTTGGCAGACTTTTCTTTGTATGCTATTTCAGTCACAACCATCATTATTAACAATCACTTCTCCGTTTTTTAAAGCTAATTCTACAGTTCAAATACTTTTAATCCAATATTGTCAATTTTTTAGGTAGATGTTACATTCGAAAAAAACCTTTGGGGTTGTGGTGTCCGGAAATGATTCTGCTTCTGCTTTTTTTAAGCAGAATTACAATCACTTTTCAAAAGCTGGTCACCCTCAGCTTCTATAAAACTGATTCTAGGAGTAATTTGAGCATCAGAATCACTTCTGCACTTTCAACCAAACACTCCAGCTTCTGCCCCTGCTCCCTGAAGGAGTAGAAGCAATTTTAAGAATCAGATCCAAACACCCCGTGTGGTGACTCTGTTTTTCGGCTTATTGAGTTTATCAGTCAATTTTTTTTTATTAAAAACGCAATTTTGGATTTTGCGCGTTGATTTGTGTAATAATAAGAAAAGTGAGGTTGAAGTGATTTTTCTGACTGTATTCTATAAAGTTATTGTAGAAGATCATTTTAGCTATTTTTTATACATTTTTTTTCTTTACTTACGTAGTATTGATAAAATATGTTATCAATATTTTTTTCATACATTAACAGAATCAGTCGATGCAACAACTTCAGCCATAACTTCATAAGTTTTAACAGAATCAGCCAATGCGGTCGATTTGAGTATTACCAAACATGCTCAAAAAAGTAAAAATAGGACACATAAACAATTACTCCGTAGATGACAAAACAATAAACTTCATTGACGCTTAGGGAGAGAGTTGTGTGAGCGCAAGAAATTCAAGCCACAATTAGAGGGCAGAAGCTGGAAATTATTCTACAGGACAACCGGGCTTCTATGGATCCTTGCCACCCTACAAAGTGGCGATTGAACACAATTTAGGAATTATCAATGAAAGGGGAATTATGGGTAGTCAGCAAAACAAAGGATAACAGTCTTATAAACTTGGAATGATGCTGGCCAGGAATGCAAACCAACACAATTGAGTATATCACTTGAGCAGGATGAAACAAATAAAGAGAGTACAAAGAACATTATCACAATGTCCAGAAAGCATAAAACTAATTCCCAGATGTAAAGCTCAACATTCCTTTATTGTTAAAGGAGAGAGAAATTATAATGCTCTATAAACTCTTCCCCACATATATAATAAACTTACCTTCTTTTAAAAAAAAAAAAAAAAAAAAATTACTCCGTAGATAATTAGAACACGATTAAATGGTGAAATAATTATATGCATCATCAAGTATACGGATTATAAATACTATAGCCTCACTTATTAATTATTAGTGAAATATCACAACATCTGTCGTTTTTTAATTCCCTTTTTCGAACTGTTGCAAAAAAAAAAAACTTTTCGAATGAAAGTTAAAAAAAATTACTCTCATGGTCTCTTGAAATATTGCCAAAATTAGCTGGCGCATAGAATAATGAATTCAAAATTGTGTGGCTAAAGTTCGTACAGGAGAAAGAAAATCAACAAGAACCATAAATTCCGTATTTGAAATTGAAAGAGGCAAAGTTAGTGACAAAAAAAGTTGACAAAATTATACTGGAGAAAGAGAGTATATATTTCATAAAATGTACTACCTCCGTCCTTAAATGTTCTTCCAAAATAAAGTGGCACACTGATTAAGAAAGTGTGAAATGTATGGTGGAGAGTTGTGCAGAGGAGAGAGAAATGCTGTGAACCACAAATTCTGTGCCAAAAAGGGAAAGTGAAGTTCTTTTGGGGACGAATGAAAAGGGAAAGTTGGAAGTTCTTTTAGAGACGGAGGAAGTACAATATAAAGGGTACACCCCCATCAGCTTTGTACCTCAAAGCAATATAACTAATCAACCACTAACATCACCAAAACAACCAAGCACACATATCCAAATAGCTTCAAGAGTAAAAATTGATGCTCCCTTTGTCTCTTAATTATTTCCCCCTCCGTAACACGTCATATTTTCTCATTTTCCTTTTTCAATCACAATACTCATGTATTCACATTTCTAATTATTGTCATCATACCTCAATAGTCTTGAAAATAATACACCATTACAACTACTTTTTTGGATTTATTCTTCATTCCATCACTCTATTTCATTATATTTACATCATACCCTCAACAATTTATATCATCTTTCACTATTCATAATCTCACCTACTTTTAAGTGGAAAGATATGAATGTTACGGAGGTAATAATAAAATATATATCAAATATAATTATTTAGTAATTTAACTATTTTAGTTGTGACGTGAGAAATTTGAGTAGAGAACAAATTCTGAGCTTGTTTGATAACACCGAATCAACTGAATCGGCTAGATATGTTGAAATTAATGAAATGCATGTTGAAACGGCTAAATTGACCGACTATGTTGAATGATGAGAAAATTATATTTAAAATATACTTTATTAATATAGATTAGAAAAAATGATGCAAAAAATAACTAAAATAATCTTCTGCAGCAAAATCAACAAGAAAAAGTAACTCAAACGTTACTTATTTTGATATTACATAATTCAGGTGTGTGAATCAAAAATTACGTCGTGAGTTTGGTAATAAAAAAGCCGTTACGACTAAAATTAAGGTTGACAAATGACAAAGGACTCAAAAATTACCACTACCTTTAACAATTCATATAGCCAATATAGTTTGGGAGTTATAGCGAGCATGTGCATGTGCTCCTAAAGATCTTTTTCATCTTACACGTGATAGATCGTGTGGGATGCTTAGTAGCCACATATAGATACTTGTGTGATAGTGCTGCAAGAGAGTAAAAGATTTACTCGATAAAAAAAACTAACAGAAGAGAATATCTAGCTGGGAATCTTTTATTGAACTCACAAGGCTGGATATATGCAATGTATAGACGCATACACATACGACCACAAACGGAACACTCGATTAAAGGGCTACCCCAGGAAGGCTAGCTATTAACCCTAACCCCAACATAGTTCATGCATACATTATCAAATCAAATTTCCCACCCATATGCAAAGGAGTACATCAATTTTTTCCAATTTTTTTGTGAATAGTTATTATTTAAAAAGTCAAACATTCCGATATAAAAAAAATAAAATTTGAATTTTTTTTGTGATTAGGGGTGAAAACTCAAAAATGTTTTTTTCACTCCAAGTTGCGGTCAGCCTAAAGATGACCGAAGTTTCTTGCTCGTCAAAAAAGTGTTGTATTAGTACGTAGCTACTTTGGGCGATTCCCCACTGTGATGAGGTTTATCCCAAATATCACTCAAAATAGGGTGCAAAACTCCAAAGTCCCTTGAAGTAATCATAACACTTCATTTAAAGTGCATGCATCTAAGAGTACATTTGGTAACACTAAAATTAAAAAAAACTGATTGAATCCACTAAAATTGATGAAATTCTGGCTGAAACAACTGAATTGACTAAATATGCTGAATTATGAAAACATTATGTTTAAAAAAACCATTAAATGGAAAATAATAATATGAAAAACAATTAAATGATCTTCAATAGTAACTTTAATCAATTCAGTCACAAAAGTAACTACAACCTTACTTCTTTTTATTACGGAGTATTATTGGAGTATAATACAGCGCATAAAATTAAAAGTTAAGTGGTAACAAAATTGACTGATAAGTTGATAAGTTGAAAATGCAGCTTATCAAACGAGCTCTAAATAAGTAGCTTTATGAAATTTTCGTTATGAAAACTTACTCTCCATTTGATAAAATCTATTTTTACAAGTCTTATCAACAAATTTTTTCACGTGACACTTAACTTTTGGCTTTGTGTGTTGTATTGTGTAATAATCAAAACAAGTAAGGTTGAAGTTATTTTCTTGATTGAGTTGGCTGCAGTTACTGCAGAGGAACTTTGAATCTTTTTTTCATATAGTACTTTCTCTATTTTATTAATAATTTTTTTAAGATGGTCTCTTATGAATAAAATATATTTTTAAGTAACTTTACATATTTTAGTAGATTCCTTGTTTGCCTTCCGGGTTTTAAAAAAAATAGTAGATTTCTTCAATCCTGCTGCTTCAGCACATTCAGTCTATTCAGCTCATTTCAGTGTTTCCAAATTGGATCTTAAGCTATCATTTTCCTTACTAAATAGGAAAATATTAAAGAATATGATTATATGATTATATTTGTATAAATACAAATAGAAGATATGAGATGACAATTTTTTGGTGTTTTTTGGAATGGCTAAAGGGTCAAATAGGTACATGAACTAACTTAAAGTGTTCAATTAGCCCTTTAATTTATATAGAAGTTTCTGCCCAGCCGTGGCCAATTGAGGCGGTTCCCGGTGGAATTTTTTGATGAAATTTGTTGAGCATCTTCTTCATTAAGTCTAGTTTACCCATATCAAATTTCAGCTAAAATTAAATTGGGAAGGAAGTCAAATGATTTTCCGAAATGTATTGCGCTGTTTAACTGTGCAGTTATCTTAAAAAAATCATTTGACTGCCTTCTCGGTTGAATTTTTAGCTAAAATTTGGTATGGATAAACTAGACTTAATGAAGAAGATGCGCAAAAAAATTCATCAAAAAATTCCACTGGGAACCGCCCCAATTGGCGACGGCCGGGCTGAACCTCCTATATAAGGGGCTAATTGAACACTTTAAGTTAGTTCATGTACCTATTTGACCCTTTAGCCTTTTGGAATTTATTTTATCTATTTAAAGTCAATAAGGATAAATTTGTTTCTTTATAAGAACATGAGAGGTATTTTTACACATTTTAAAAGTTTAGGGGTATACATGCACTTCAACACTTTTTTGCTCTAGGGGGCGTCTGGGGGGGGCTAGGGTGGTATGGAGTAATTGGGGCTGAAACTCACTCCATTAAGTTTTGAAGCTGAGACCTCCCGAAAAGGAAGTGAGTCGGCGACCCGCAGAGCTGGATCAGAACACTTTCAACATATATTTTAGGGTATATTTGTTCCGGAAAACAGAACATGTGTATATATTTGTTCCTACCACATACTACAAGAGTATATTTTTACATTTTCCCTAAAGTTAATTTATCTTCACTCTGGCAAAAAAGTTGGTGCCGAAATTTGTTTTAGCATTTGTATTACTTATTCTATACATAGATGAAGATATTTATGGGAGGTCAACTGTCAAGTGTGCGCAGAGGCGGCTAGGCGTGCAGATAGATTTTAGTGAATAGATAAAAAACGGAAAGTTTATGTGAAATGACTCCCAGTAGATTAAAAGGGAAGACGCTATTTCTATATATAGCATTCCACCGACTAATAATAATTTATGAAGATAACCCTAATTAATGTGTGGCCTCGTTTTGGAAAACCAGCGTATAACGATGAGATATAAAAGGAAACGACAGAGAGAAAGAAAGACAGGGAAAGAGACAGTGGAGTCAATGAATGTTGGCGTCGTATTCTTTGTAGGGTTAAATACTCTCGCTAACCAATTGAAGCTCGAAAACGCATTGGAGTACTAAATAAATATCTTTTGCCAGACTTTTTTTGTATACTAGCTAGTAGCTACGGAGATCTCTTGTTAGTATAACATGCACGTCGAGTCTACGTATTGACATTGGAGCAAACATGATAGTATGCTTGGAAAAATATGCAAATAATTGAAATCTATGCAGAAAAAGGGAGAACAAATTTTAATTACCGGTTCAAGTAGTTAAAGTTATTGACATTAATTGGAGCAGATACTATAATAGGTTTAGAGAGATATACAAATAAGTGTTCCATGCCTAGTGGGAGGTCTCAAGTTCGAATCCCGCTAGGCACATAGGGTTTTGAAACTCAATAGAGTGAGTTTACGTCATAATTACTCCAGCTCCCCAACCCCCCTCCCCCAGACCCCCCTGGAGTAAAAAAAATTCAAAAAAATGTAATCTGTGCAAAAAAGGGAGAATATTTTTTAATCACACAATCCTTCTATATCAAAAAGATTTTCCCACTTTTCTTTGTAAACTGTAACTAAATAATTTTCTCATTTCTTAATATTTTCATCACTTTTCTTTTTGTATTTATGCTTCATTCCATCACATTATTCTATTATTTTCTCATTATGAGTTTTTCTCCGGAATAATGCTAATTAAATAAATAACTCCCGAAATACTGTTTGGTTAAAAATAATTCTCACAATACTGTTAGGTTAACCGTGGTTAAGGAAAGTCGCCTCTTCGAGTGGCGGTACGATTATTCTATGTAGTACAAAAGCCGTTACTTC